TATATATATATATATATATATATATATATATATATATATATATATATATATATATATATATATATATCCAAATAAATATTCATCGTCCATCGACACCCTCCTGCGTCGTAAGGCAAGGAGGGCAGCAGCACGACTGCTGCTGCTGTGGTAGAAAGAACACCACATCAAATGCAAACACGCAGCAGAAACAAAGAAATGAAATATCTGTTTTCATCAGCATCTGTATGCAAACAAATAATATATAAATCCCCGTTGTCTTTACACCACAGGTGCATAGGTGTTTGATATACAATCCCTTTTGTATGTTATTTCTTTTCCACCCCGATGATTTCCTCTTTTTTTTTTATTTTTTTTTTGTTTATTTGTTTGTATTCTGTTTTTGATATATTTTGTTTTATCTGTAGAGAAGAGCAAAGTAAAGACCCGATAAGATCCCTAGAATAAGACTGACGATGGCCACAGGCCCCACGTGTTTCCTATCGGCCATATTCGGCACAGCATCTACACTGTATATAAAAGCAAGCGTTGCGAACCATCCATGAGTAACAGAAAGAACAACCATTAATATTATCTGAAACCAAAAGGCATTAAACACAGCATTCTCATGCAGATGCTTGCTCAGAAAGAAGGGTATATACAGCCCAAACCGCAGCACCGTCAACCACGGCATCAGCCGAGGAGAGAACAACACAAACCCCTTAAACAAACGCCCCTGTTCTGCGTATGCACACAGACATTTCCCCAGTGTATCGCCGAATGGAAATACACCCAACAGCCACACAAGGTGGTTCTTGGGGGGGTTGCTGGTATCCCACTGAAGGGGGCCAACACGGGGGAAGAGGTTGCAGGTAACAAAGAAAAGTAAAAACACACAGGCGATCTGTACACCTGACTGCCGCAGCACGATAAGCAGAGCGTTTCTCTTCTCCTCCACAGGCTCAGTAGAGGCCCCAGGAACAGCAGAAGACACAGAGACCTCCTGCAACTCTGTTGGGCTGCTGGCGGATCCTTGAACTCCATCAGCACTCTTATGTTTTTTGTTATTTCCCTCAGCAAGAGCCTCGGCGACAGCTCTCTTAGCGCCAGCTTGTCTGATGCTTGTTGCCATAAGGAGAATACAAACAACCCCCACTGCTGCACTGACTCCTGCTGTGACGTTGACGAGGGTTTCTACGTCTTTTTGTATTTCTATATCCACCACAGTATACGATAGAATCCCCACCAATACAACAGAGAAGATAGCACCAAAGCCTTGGCCTGCGCTGTATACACCAACTTGGTTAACAGGCATAATAGCCCCATAAGAGAAACCGCTGCCCTGAACGAAGCCGCTGCCGCTCCCCAGGAGAAAGCAGAGAACATGTACTAAGGCAATACGGGTCTGTACACTTCCATATATAACACAGGGGCCAAATACCCCACACATGATAGAGCCCAAGAAGAGGCCTAGGTGGAGCCATCGTTCTCTCACCGTACCCACAAACATCAGCAATACCTGCACTGTTAAGTTACCAACCTGAAACACCCCAAGTAAAGAATTTCCTGCATCGTAGCCGTCCAAGAAGTGCTCCGTTACATAAGGAAGAAGATATAAGACGTTATTCCAAGCAAACAGAGAGCTCATACCTAAAAAAAAGAAAGCTGTTGTTGTTATCCACCATTCACAACGAGATATCATACACTTATCTGTTGTAGATACACCCGAAGTCCTCTCTGTTATGGCTCCTTTTTCTTGCATCTCTAGACAAGTACTGAACGCCTCAGTCTTCGGTGTACAGACACTCAGAGCCCCAGCAGGCTCTACAGCCTCCTTACGNCCCCCCTTCGACATGACTGCGATAGAAATATGAAAATAAAGACGAGAAAGTCTATATGCACTGCAACGTGTTGCAGCCACACGAATGCAACTTATGCTGCGCCCCACAACTCGATTGCCTCTCTCTACGCTCCCGACCCTTGTCGAGAGCTTGAGCAAACAAATTAGGACAAGACAAAAGGAGATCTTCTTTTTCTCCTTCGTACTCCGAAGGAGAAAACAAAAAACAAATCCAAATGAAAACAAATGGATAAAGGATGCTTCTTCTCCTGATGCAGCAAAGCTGCCTCCTCAAGCTTTCCCTGTTGTGAGAGAGTAATCGAAATACCGCAGTTCTGGCTATGGCCGCAGGCAACCACACCCACCGGGCTCGTGGGGATCGCCTCTGCGTGGTCTAGAGCAAGAGGAACCTGCAAGTTTTCTTCTCATTCAAATAGTAATAAATATTCAAAAAATCAAACGAAACCGAAAACAATTAACGCACGAAAGCAAACCACCCGACAGCCGCCCACCTGAGTTAACGGAAAGCTTTCTTCGTGGCCGAGTGCATAACGAAGACGGAAGCCGCAGCTTCATCAATTCAATTCAAATATTAATCAAAATCTATCAATTCATTTAACTATGCAGAAAAAATAAAACATTATTTTTAAACTTTCTCAAGAAAAATGAAGTGAACGCGGAACTGGTGGTGGTTTTGAACAGGGGGATGGACATACACACCTGTACGTACACCCGGCGCAACGGTGTGGTTCGTTGCTGTATTGTAGCATATATAAGCGACTTTCAGGGGTATTTATTATTATTATTTTTGACAAATTCTTCGTTCGTATGTGGGGTGAGAGCTGTTTCTTCAATCAAAAACCAAGGAAACCAACCAGGCTACATGCTGGCTGGCGCCCGAGAGGCAACCGCATACGACAGCGGGTTAGACACGAAGAAGCTGCGTTATTTAGCTCAAGAAAGAGAATAAATAGAATATAAATACTTTTCTTCAGAGAGAAGAGCTCAGCTCAGAGGCAAATCTCGCCAAATACCCAGCAGTGTTCGGCACTGTCATACAAAATCCACCCCCCATGATGTGTAAATTTTACTGCAGTATAACTACACCAGCCAGGTGTATCTTTAGCTAAGTAGAGCACAGCTAAGCCCCTCTAAGCTCTTGATCAGATGCAGCTGAGTGTCTTCCTCTGGCTGGATCTGTATACGAACAGACAAATATCTTCACTGCTATATTTTGCTGAGTCTCTACGTGTTGGTGTAGACTTCGTAGCTCGCGTATGCACCCCCTGCTGCCTCTGTATCCATGCAAAACAACTAAAAAAGTGCTGCTTGTTCACCCCACATGCACCTCCGTAGTGAGAAGGGCTCAAGGCCCCACTGGGTGGCCGTGTTTCTGTGTGTAAGGTTTGCTGCAAGGGGAGGGCAGCTGCGGCGCAGCCAGCTAACCAGTATCTCTTCTCTATATGAACAGCTGAGTACAGAGGCAGTTGCGGTTTTATTTATTATTATTTCTGGTTGGGTTCTCATTGCATGCATCTGAGCGGCTACCAAGCAAACAGACTAAGTAAGGGTTTAGGGGGGAGAGGGAAGGGGGGTTGGGTAGGGGGAGGAGGTGCATATTTTTTTTTTTTTT